ATCCGCGTCCGAGCGCGACGAAGAGCCCCCTTTAAAAGCGGCGACGCCGGCAGGGGGGCCCGGCGCTCTCTGCGTTTTATCTGCGGTGGCGGCGGTGGCGGCGGTGGCGTCGCTTTGTCCTCGCGGAGATTTATCGCGTCGCGCGTTACACGCGGACGCTCTTGTTTCTCCGTGCACGCCCCGAGCGCCACCCCCGCCAGCCGCTTCCAACGCCGTAAAGCTACGTGTGTGTGTGTTGAACTTCTTTCGCACCGTACGTAGCCAACGGTGCTAATGGGAGGTGCGGAGGGGGGGGCAGGGGAAGAACGACAAGTTGTTACGCCGCTGATTTGGGCTCCGTTTGGTGAAACGTCGCAGCTCGGTTTCTCCGAACGCTGTGCCACACACTTCCCAATGCGTCTGGTTGCGGCTTGCCTCACCCACCCACCCACCCACTCACTGCCAGGCGGCCAGACAGACACGTGGTGATGTTTGCATCTTTAACTTCAGTTACTCGTACGGGTTGCACGATGGAACAGTGTTCACGGAGAGCACGTGTGCAGCCCTTTTTGTGCCCCCCCCCGCCTTACACCGTTGAGGATTCAGGGGGGTTATATGGCCATACTCGACTATGCTGGTCAGTGTGGGTTGAAGGCGGGAAGAATACATGCGGGAGCATAGAAGTACAGTCAACAGTTGATTTTTGCTGGGCTGCCCTGTGCTGCTCACCACGTAGACCCAAAGGCCCGATAACAACCTGTGCATGGTGGCCACCCATCCAGTGGCTATCCAGGCTCAACCGTGCTTAGCTTGCGAAGGTGGACGAGATCGAGCTTGTTCCAGGTGGGAATTGATCGTTGGGATTTTCTTCCGGAATACTATTTTGCAAACAAATATAAGTTTTTAATATTTGCAAGACCCACTTTGGGTCATGACCACAGAACAAAACGTCGGACATCATGCCGAACAACACGCCGCACAACCCAAAAACACATCGAAATTTAAAAAAGTATTTTATATCTCTCCGGGCGCCACGGTGGCGAGATGTTAACTACCTCGCCTGGTATGCAGGAGGTCCTGGATTAGATCCCGACCCTCACGCCTGCTGTATATTGTATATTTAGAATTTGCGTGTTCTCCGCGTGGTTTCATGGATTTTTCTCCGGGTCCTCCAGTTTTTCCCTCCCCGTTTATAAAAATGCGTTAAGAGTTGTTGGCCGCAGTAAATTTCCACGTGGCGATGAGCCACTTCGTTGAGCTATCATTAGCGGCCAGGTCGCTTCTGAAAAACAGCTACATAGCTCAGTGGGCCTTACCTGGTCAAATAAAAAAAATAGTCAGAATGGCAAAATAGAAATGCGAAAGCCTCAAGCAGGTGACGCTACACAGGTTGCAAACAAAAGATAGTTGACGCGCTGCAACTGTCAGTATCTGCCAGACTGTCACATCCAACCAGCTGTTTCACTATTCGTAAACAGCTATATTCTTTTCTCTTGCGAGCAGAAGAGTAAACATAAAACATTCTTTAATGCGAAAGAAAAATAGTTAGAGTTGTATTTAGCTCGTTAAAAGAGACACAATGGCAGTGCAGGATTACAGGTGATGCAATTCGGACAGGAAAAATGCCTTCTGGGCAGCCTTTGTCTTGCCGATGTCTTTGTTTTTTTAACAGATTGTCGCGCAGAATCTTGGGAGCCAACTGTTGCACCAGAGAGAAGAGGCGACTCTTAACGCCCTCAGGCAATGACAGTAGCAGTGTTGTTTGTTTATGGGAAGGCGTTTGGTGCTTCCCTCTGACTAATCTACAGACTTGGATTTCCTTGACCAATACCTGCGGGCGGATGTAAACTTTAGCCTGCGAGGTTGGTCGACCTGGATTTTGTGTTTGCTCACCCCACCCACCCCCCGTGTGGGGCCCGGATTCTTGTTTGAAATTCCACTCTTCAACTCTGGCACAAAGTTTACACAAACTTTGCTGAGTGGGGCAGCAGCGGCAGCACGGCATGGGCTTAAAGCCGAGACAGCCAGCGAGTGTGTGAAAGCGACGTGATTAGGTATTTCGGTAAAGTCACGTAGGCATAAAATATATACTTTGCCTTGCTCCTGATCCCTCTCGCAGCGCTCCGCTTTCCCCTACCCCACACCCCCCCACCCTCTCTATCTCTACTCCCTGGATCCTCCCCCCTCTCTTACCTATATAGCCTCTTGTCACGGCAGCCCTTTTGCCCACTTCAGCAATTGTTTCTTGCTGTGGTTGTCCCACCTGATGACGGACGCTTGTGTTGCGCCCGAAACGTCGTGATTTCATTTCTTTATTTTCTACCTACGTGACTTTACCGAAAGAACCAAAGAGTATGGATCCCTGCAGTCACGAAATACTTAAAATCTAGAGTGATTAGGTCTGCCGCCCGGCTTTGTTATTTTGCGTGACGGAACATTCAAATTAGTTCCTGCGCGTGATACACACGGCGGATGGGGTTTGTACTCATGAGCGTTTTGGGCCGCTAAGTGATGTTCAAAAAAGATTGCACGCAACAAGGGATCCATCATTTCGCGGCTGAGACATAGAAGGGTTTCTAATTCTAGATTTGAAGTTTTCGTGACTGCAAGGATTCATACTCTTAGTTCTTTCGGTAAAGTCACGTAGGTGAAAAATGAAATAAAAATTAATAAAAAAAACAATAAAAATCACGACGTTTCGGAGGCAACACAAGTCTCTGTAAATCTGGCTGTGACGGTTCCACCTGATGACGGAGACTTGTGTTGCCTCCGAAACGTCGTGATTTTTATTGTTTTATTTTTATTAATTTTAATTTCATTTTTTTACCTACGTGACTTTACCGAAAGAACTAAGAGTAAGAAGGGTGTCTGTTGGGAAAACAAAAGTACCGGAGTGTTTTCGCAAGTCCACTTGGGCGCACCCCCTGTGGCCCCTGTGCTGTGGTGCAGTGATAAACATCGTGAACAAGAAAACCCCAAAATAAACCTCTGTTGGTTCGCCGTGGTATGTTTGGTGAGAAATGAATAAATTGTTTTCATTTCTATCGTACGTACGTACGTATGCATGGGTCGCGGTTGTTTTGGGAGGAGTGAGTACGGGATGTAAAACATCGAATGTTTCGGAGCGAGCAGCTCGAAAGTTTCGAGTTCAAATCCTGGTCGGGGGGTTTAATCAGCCCATCATCACTCTCCAGGGTCCATAAAATATATACCACTTCATGGGTAGTCAAGAATGGCTGTCCCGTGGGTAGACTCGACCCCACCATAGGAATGTGGAACTTCCACCACTGGCTCAGGACTGTAAACGGGAGAAGATGAACACTGCTTCAGTGGTCTTTTAAGCAGGAAATCACCGAGTTTATTTCAGAGTGTGCGTCATGTTTACAGCGTGCAGTTTAAATAAAGACACAAACCAAAAACAAACGCAGCTTCGCTTGGGAGAATAAAAAAAGACCTGTGTTGTGTGTCCTGGGCTCGAAACTTTCTTAATGACCAGAAAAAGCCTATTCTTTAAAGTTACGTCTTAAAAATTTAAGTCAGGGCCACTATTCTGACATCGGTACTGTATCACTCTCGTGCTTTCAAACTCAACATCAGTTGCAGGTATATCAACGACAGTGCTGTGATGGCCGGATTGATCGTTACTATAAATGCTTTTATCTCGCTCGCAAAGCCTCAATCTGGAGTCTGACGGCATTGGCAGGGGGTAGGGGAGAACACAGGCTAGCCAAGATAACAACCGATTGTTTTTTGGGTCATGCCTTCCTTTAAGGCATCCTCTTCTTTTGTTTTATGAAAGCCATGCCTCCGGAATGTGCTGCGTGCAAAACGTGAAGAGACACGTCTGAGACTTTATCCGGCAAGAGCGAGAATTTGAATTGCGTAAGACTACTACGTCGTGGGAGGAAAAGGCTGTCCAGATGCAGTCGTTTACGTAAAGGGAAGACGTTTTGCGATTTGCTTTCGGCTCACGGTAATCCTATTCAACTGGAACTCTGCCTCTCGAAGCCGATCCTTGGCCCATAGTGGCCATGAGTTGACTGTCTCGCTCATAACCTGTCCGATTGCGGTTAATCTGCTTTGCGGCAGCCATTCGGTTTTATTTCTATTTATGGAACCGTTGACGTGCGAGCTTCTATGCAAAGTGCGGGGTGCTGTTGCTTGATGAGTCGAGGGCTCGTAACCAACCGCCTGCCAGAGACTGTTGCATCTCAAAACCTTATGTCATCACCGTGACTAAACGTGAAAAATACTTTTTTGAGAAATTATAATTTTTCAGCCATTTGTCGATCCTCTGTTGGATGACGGCTCACCCAAACTGTGTCGGTTGTGTTGGTTGCTTGATCATACTTCACCGCGCTGGTGAGTGCAGGTTAGTGAAGAATGCTGCTGGAGAACATTGCTCTATTAGGCTGATAGGCTGATGGACCTAATGGATTGTATTTTTTATGAGCAGATAGAATTATAAACAAATCCTCCATGAACAGTGCACAATAAAAAAAATGTTGTACAGTACAAATACGTGAAACGTCTCAGAGCACTGAGCCACCACTGCTGAGGTCTTGGGTTCGAATCTGGTCATCTGCCTGTGACTAAACCGGGTTCCCAAGTGGAGAGAGTTGATGGTTTCTTCACCCCAGTCGGTGAAAATTGGAAGAAAAAAATGCGTCGAATAAAAATGTGGTTTTCACTTAATGTGGCTGAATTTCAGTTCTGAATTAAATGCTGGTTTTAATGTGATGCGATTAATGCATCTCGGAAGCAGGGAATTTGACAAAGTGCAGCGCTGCCTCGATTGCGTGGATATAAGAAATCGGTTAAAGCGAGCCCGGAAGTAGTTCTGTGATGTATGCTTCTGCGAGCCGTACGCTAACACGGAGGGTCATGTGCTTCTCAGCGACAGCTCCGAGTAGACATTTCGTCCCATGACACTACGGCCGTAGAACGTTCGCTATGAAACCGGTAAAACAAAATCCCTGAGCGCTTTTACCTCCGTGCGCACACCTGCTGCGGGCGAGCAGGTCATGAAGGAGCTGGAGGACGAGCGGCGGAGGCACGCGCAGGACCTGGCGCAGGGCGACGACGTCACCTTCATGCTGGAGAAGGAGCGCGAGCGCCTGGAGCAGCAGGCACGCTCGCTCGCCACTGCGATACACTCACCACACCACCGGCCAACACTCACCCTCCACACCACGATACACTCACCGCCACCACCGGCCAACTGCTCACCCTCGACACCGTGATACGCTCACCACACCACCGGCCAACTGCTCACCCTCGACACCGTGATACGCTCACCACACCACCGGCCACCGCTCACCCTCGACACCGTGATACGCTCACCACACCACCGGCCAACACTCACCCTCCACACCATGATACGCTCACCACACCACCGGCCAATCACTCACCCTCGACACCACGATACGCTCACCACACCACCGGCCAACCGCTCACCCTCGACACCAAGATACGCTCACCGCACCACCGGCCAACGCTCACCTTCGACACCATGATACGCTCACCGCACCACCGGCCAACCGCTCACCCTCGACACTGCGATACGCTCACCACACCACCGGCCAACCGCTCACCCTCCACACTGCGATACGCTCACCGCACCACCGGCCAACTGCTCATCCTCGACACCATGATACGCTTACCGCACCACCGGCCACCGCTCACCCTCCACCGCTCACCCTCGACACCGCGATACGCTCACCACACCACTGGCCACCGCTCACCCTCGACACCATGATACGTTCACCACACCACCGGCCACCGCTCACCCTCCACCGCTCACCCTCGACACTGCGATACGCTCGCCGCACCACTGGCCAACTGCTCACCATCGACACCGCGATACGCTCGCCACACCACCGGAAACGGTATACCGCACCACGTCCCGCACGACACCTTCAAAATCAAAACCCCAACACCAGCCACCACTCAACATAGAAGCCACCACTCTGCAATTGTTACAGACACCACACTATCGGCGACCAGTCACCGTACCACCACCACCCAGACGGCACCTTTGGGATACGCCGCACTACCGCCAACGTTGCACTGCCACTCACAAACCACCTCCGTTCTGAGCGTCGCTCCTCTGCCCTCCGTTGTTGCTGGAGGGCGATTGCCTCCAACTGCCCAGTAGCGGCAGCAGCGTCCTTCACGAGCCTCCTCCATGATACCGCCACACAGGGGACAACCAACAATCACCACCCTCTCATCGCACACCACACTACCAGCTCACCTAAGCACTCGACAATTCATCTCACGCCCACCCACCGGCAATTCAATGAATTGTCGTGATTCGGGGAGGGCGGGGGTCACAATTCCATTCAAGAATCAATTCTTATTTATTTTAGCACTGATGAGTGTGTGCAACCTCTGAAGGGTGCATGGGGGTCACGTGAACCAGTCACGCGTAACGCACGCGGGTCGTGAATAATTGATGATTTTATAAATGCAACTCGATGCATGTAGCGTGGAACGTATGCGGTGGATCGTACCGTTCCGTTATCATGCTCCACCCCGCGGCACACCCACCACTCAAGTAACGTCGGCGTGCCGCCCAGACGACGTTATCGCCGGCAGTGGTGCGGTGTGAATTTGACGCTTGTTAAAATGCAGGCGTCAAAACAGCTCGATGTTTTACCAAGTTGCGTGCCCTGGGCCATCCGACATCAGGGCGAAGAAGCCACATTAATGAGAGCAGAGGCAGTGAAATCGGTGTAGCCTCTGTCATTATGGGGCTCTCGTGGCGCCGCCGCATAGACACTCTTTTAATTGGTTGAAAACATCTTAGTATTGAAGGCACCAGAACTTGGGCAATTGTTGGCACCGGCTAACCATCTGACTGTGTCTCCCTGGCGATTTCGAGGTGTGCTGCACGTGACTGAACCTAACGACCGTGCCGTTTATAATAAATATATACAACTACATTCTCGCACACGTTGGGGTGCGCAGGTGGACTTCGAGAAGTCGCAGGTGAAGAAGCTGGAGAAGGAGCAGAAGAAGCTGTCGGCCGAGCTGCGGGAGGAGCGCGCCAAGAGCAAGCAGCTGGTGCTGATGCTCGTCAAGGAAAACGAGCTGCTCACCGAGCAGCTGCAGAAGGAGCGCTCGGCGCTCGCCGAGAGGGACACGGGACTGGCGGAGGAGAAGCGCCGCTCCGACGAGCTGGGCGACCTGCTGGAGGTGCACAAGAAGAAGAGCGGCCAGGTGGAGGCCGAGCTCGAGAAGCAGCTCGCCGAGTTCGACACGGAGCGCGAGCAGCTGCGCCTCAAGCTGGAGCACGAGGCGCACCACAGCAGGGGCTTGCAGGAGGAGATCCTCGGCCTCAAGTCCGGCCTGGCGTCGAAGGATCGGAGCGACGGCGCCGTGGCGGCGGCGGCGGAGGCGAAAACCACGAGCAGCAAGTGCGTGGAGGCCAAGCCCCCGGTGAGATCGGTGGGCGCCGGCTCGGACGAAGCGCCGGCGACGTTGGTTTCGACGGCGGCCGGGACGGACGCCCCCCCCGCGGCGCCCGTCGCGATCCCGGCGTGGGACGCATCCTGCCCGGATGGCGCCCCAGCAGCGACGGCGGCCGTGGCGGCGAAGCCGCGGGAGCCCCGCAACGGACCAGAGAGCCACGCCGCTCACGCCGGGTCCAACCACGCCCGCCCCGTGCGGCGGGCCGGAGAAACGGACCTCAACCGCAACGCGGCCGCCGGAGAAGCGCCCCGCTCGCCGGGCGAGCCGCTCGTCAAGGTGACCCCCTCGTCGTGTTTCCCGTCGGAGGCCTCGCCCCCGCGGGCCGCCGCACCCGTGCCCGACGACGAGGAGCTTTCGAGCGCTCGCCACCTGGAACTGAGCAACTCCCACGACGCGCCGTCCGCGGGCGCCCCGGCCCGCGCCGGCCGCGGCGTGGCCGGCGCCGCCACCGCGGGCCTCTCACCGCGCTCGCTCTCGCCGCACTCCCCGTCGGGCCTCGGCGACGGGTCGCCCACGGCGGCCTCCCCCGACCCGCTGAGGTCAGGCTACTCCGCCGGCCTCAACTCGCGCTTCCAGGTGGCCAAGCTCAAGTTCCAGACACAGGTGGAGCAGGAGCAGCAGCAGCAGCAGCAGCTGCAGGTCCAGCAGCAACAGCAGCTGCAGGTGAGCTCGGTCACCGTTCACGGTCCCACGAGCCCCGACGCCACGGGCGCCCGGCGCGACTCCTCGCCCGTCAAGAACCTGGCGCGCAACACGGTGAGCCAGGCGATCTCGCGCTTCGCCAGCCAGCAGGCGGCCGCCATGGCCGCCGGCAAGACGCTGCCGCTGGGCGGCAGCTCCCCCTTCGGCACCGACTACCGCTCTGCGCTGCACTCGCCGGCACCCGGCGCCGCCGAGCCGGCGCACGCGCTGCACCCCCCGGGCAGGGCCGGCGGGAACCCGCTGCTGTCGCCGTCGTCGCCGTCGGCGCCGGGCGGCGGCGGTGGCGGCGTCAAGGGCCCGTCGGTGTCGCTGCGCCTGGACCGTGGCGCCCCGCCGCCCATCCCGCCCAAGAAGCCGTCGCTCATCCAAGGCAGCCACGCGGCGACGGCGACGACGGCGACGGGCGCGCCGGCGCGCAGCTTGGCGGTCGATAGTAACTCGAACCCCTCGGTGGAGCCGCTGGAGCTCGAGGGGGAGGGGACGCGGCACAACGCGGTGGGGAGCCTCGCGTCCGCACTGGAGCTCCCCAACGCCGCGGTGGCGGCTGCGGCGGGCGCCACCAGCGCCGCCGCCACCACGTGCTCGGACGGATGCGGCACGCTGCCGGCCAGGTCTGCGTCTCAGGTGAGCGTTGCGCCAGACGCGTCAACTCCTCGTTAATCGTACGCAGACGTTCAACATTCATTTGCCATGTAATGACGTTGAATGGCAGCTTCTAGTAGGAGGTGACTCGAAGTTTAACTTGGGGAGGCAGTCACTGTCGGTGTTGTGTAACACGAAGTGGTGCGTGACTAGTGGGCTCAATATTCAGTCCGTAGCCAGTAGTTCTACAAACTATTTCTTTGCTTACATGAGCACTAAAAGACGCTGCTCACCTCGTCTTTGCAGCCCTGAGCCACTGGTGGAAATTCCTCATTCCTATGGCGGAGTCGAGTCTTTCCCAAAGACACTCACCGTAGACTTTCCACTCCTGCTTGCGTTGGTGTTACATTATTCAGGCATGGAATTTCTAAAGCCACGGGCGAGATTCATTGGGTCAGAACTTGATGATTTTATTGGCACGGATAAATTATAGCTTTTTAAACGTGACGATTGTTTAGGATGGTGGAGGGGTAATGACACATGTTTTGGGACAATACTACTATGTGGCTTAACCCAGAAATAAATATGGATCAAACGAATATTCATGGTGCCGAGTCAAGCCGCAAACCAGGATTTGAACTCTCAACCATCCAAAACTCTACCACTGAGCCACCTTGCCAGTAGTACATTTCCCATAATTAAAATAGTGCGCACAGTCAAACTCCGGTGTGGGGGGGGGGAAATCTTACCAGATTATCTCCGTACTTTAACAACAACCGGCTCCGGAGCCACTTGCGTCTCTTGGTGACCGCTATTTATTAAGGAGCCACCGTCTCGTATTCACGTCGCATTGCCGCTCTTAAAATATTGAGCTTTTTTTTTGACCGAATTCGAAAAAAGTGCCTCTTGTTATTTCGGTTGCCGACCCCAGCACTTGTAAAATACCCCCCCCCCCCCCCCCTACTTGCCAAGTGTAGTTGCACCCCGGCAATCGAGTACACGCATCGCTGGAATCGAGACAACTCACAACCACCCTCCCCCACCTCCTCACACTCCCCCCCCCCCCCAAAAAACTTTTGCTGCCTTCGCAGGTCGACTCGGCTCGCTAGCGCCGTGGGCCGCCATCCACCGGCGCTTTCCTGCTGCCGCTCTCGCAGAGCGGCACTCCTCACCCCTCCGACTCGTCCGCGTTCAACCGCCCGCCGCCGGCCAATCAACTGGAGGAGTTACTGCAATGGCCGGATGACTAGAAGGGCCCAGCAAACAAAACTAAGAAATAACAACACGCTTGTTGCGGTGAAGCAAGAGGGGGGGGGGGGGGTTCAGGAGGCGACGTGGTGACCCCACGGTGCTGCTTGTGCCACCCACATTCGGGCAGAGGTTGGCAATCCTGCAGGAAACGTAGCCCCTCGACATGCCAATGTCACTTGCACCGAAGCGCCACATGTGAATTCGTCTTCTCTTGTCTACTCCATCTCACCCGAACGGTGGACTCCTCCCTATTGCACCCTCCTCCTCCACCCTCCTTCCTCCTCTTACCCATGCATCGTCCACAGCTGAGGCCTTAGGCCTTGGGCCTGAGCTGTGTCACCTCCCCCACCCCTCTTGACTCTTGACTTCCATTTCCTCCGCCCCCCGGGGTGGAAAGCGGGCGCCAACTGCAGCGGGCGGCCGTCGCGACGTGGCGAGGGACGCGGTTGACACGCTGTGAATGTGTAAGGGGGTCGATGTGAGCGCAGGGTGTGCGTACGCGCCGCTACGCACCGCCCATCCCGACCCCGCTGCTGCTGCTGCCAAAGGGGAACCGGCACTACTTTGACGAAGGCCTCGCGCGGTCCGGCGTCCCCGCGCGGCCCGGACGTCGCTGGGACATGACTGCCCCCCCCCCCCCCCCCCGGCCAAAGGGGGGTCGCTGTCTCTCTCTCGGCCGGGCCCCTTCTCGGACACGGAACCTGCCGCTACTGCGCCATGCCACGCGCGTCTTGGAGCTACTTGAACGATAATTGATGCTGAACGTGTTGCCAATGTGTATTGCGGATGCGCGGGGAGGTTTAATCAAGCGAAGGCTGTAACGTATTCCAGTGTGGCTACGTCGCACAGTTGTGTGTGTGTGCATGCGTGCGTGCACGTGTGTGTGCAGAAGGTTGCTACTGATTTTCTGTTTTTTCGTCTCCAGGTAGACGGCAGGAGGCACAATGAGTCTTAAATGGAACTGTATTTTGCTTAAGCATAGCGATTTTTAAATAGCAATTCTTATTTTATTTTTTAAATATACAAATATAAACGGTGAGTTCTTAGATGGATCCTCGTTAGAAAGTGCAGTGGTAATGATGTTGGCCATCGACTCTAAACCCCCCTCTCTCGCTTGCATTCATAGATATCGACCCATTCCAGCTGTGAATAATTATCGCAAATCGGCAACGAACTTCTTGAGTCGGCTGCTGCCGGGCAGCCTGGTCGAGCGGGGAGGGTCAGGGGGGTTACAAATGTTGTGTGGTAAGAAGGACGCTGAAGCCAGTCGTGGAGGGGCTGACGCCAACTCTTTATTTAAGGGCTTGCGCCTAACTCGGGGGAAGGGGTTAACACAGAGTTATTAACTAATCTCCCCAGGGGAAGGGGTTAACACGGAGTTAGTAACTAATCTCCCCAGGGGAAGAGGTTAACACAGAGTTAGTAACTAATCTCCCCAGGGGAAGGGGTTAGCACAGAGTTAGTAACTAATCTCCCCAGGGTAAGGGGTTAACACAGAGTTAGTAACTAATCTCCCCAGGGGAAGGGGTTAGCACAGAGTTAGTAACTAATCTCCCCAGGGGAAGGGGTTAGCACAGAGTTAGTAACTAATCTCCCCAGGGGAAGGGGTTAGCACAGAGTTAGTAACTAATCTCCCCAGGGCAAGGGTACTGGGAGTTCCCTACACCCCACCAGGCTATCAGGCTCTTCACACAGCACTGACCGAGGGTTCAGCCAACACGGCCAGCCGGGTAAAGCAGCCCCCCTTTAGCCTGGCTCTCTACCCTCTATCCTGGAGCCCCCTACTCCCCTAACGCTCACTCCTCTTGGCTCACCGCGAAGACCCCGTCCACGTCACGGCTCTCCCCTCAAATACCCCGGGGGGGCATGACGTCACTTTACCTTGACGGCATTCCCCCCGAGGCGAGTGTGACCTGACGTCAGCACTCCACTCCTCAACACAAAAATGTTGAAATCGTCATCGTTACCGGGAGCACAAGACGTGGCATTCACCGGGACCCCCCCCACCCCCAATGCCCGGATTTGTCACGGACAGCGCCGCTCACAGGACACGCGGTTTAACGCCGCTGCTGCGTCGCGGCCGCCACCGTTGGGCCATCGGCTTGCTCGTTCCCCACCTCTTGAGGTTTTACCAGATCAAATGTGATTTGCTTTTTTTGTGATTTTGTCTTCCGACTTTTGATATCCGCTGTACAACTAAACGCCCCCCCCCACCACCAACTCGCGCACCCACCCAACCACGCACACACCCACCCACCCCGCTTGCGCATTTAATATTGTAAATTAACCGTGCAATTACTTGAAATAATCTGTTAATTGCGCTAGGTATTATTACAATTAAGAGGTGCTGAATTCACTACGTGGAATTGCCAATCAAAAGGGTTTTAATAACCGTCCGCTGAAATGTAGCAGCAGCAGCAGCAAGCGTTCAAATGAGGAAATCATGCCGAAGCTCTTAAGACTGCTTTGTAAAGTGCGCTCTGCGTACACTTCCCAACACTACAATTAGACGTCAATTGCCAAAGCGTTCAACTTGCTAATGCTTGCAAGCTGGAGTTGTGCCGGTCCGTGTCGCCATCGCATGCCCTGTTGGTGCGAGTCATTTCGACGAATTGCGGGGAGGACGAGGCGGGCGTTGGTTGGGTGGGGGGGGGGGTGAATAGATGCTCCAAATACATTTTATCGGCCAAAACCAGACCAGCCTATGTTTTTGTAATTACATTCTACTGTGTAGTATTGTTTACCGGCCGATTTGAGCATACAAACAACGGACGCGTTGCACTTAAAACGGAGCTTTTACCGCATTGGTGTTTGATTCCATGAAGGACTTTAAAAAAAAAGAAATGGTTGCGTTCATTTAAATGGGACCATTACAAAAGGAGTCTCAACCGGGCCAAACGAAAACTCGACGAAAGACACGGGAGGCCACGCCGGCTCCACGCCCAGCAGCGGCGAGCATTACCAATGTAGTTTTAGTTAGGGGGGGGGGGGTGTGTGTGGCACGTGTGCGCACCTCACTTTTGCCAACGTTTCGCAAGCCTCCCGAGCGAAGTCTGCCTACCCAAACGCCGCCTCGAGCATGTGGCGCTCGATCCGTGGTGCGGTCCACTTCGCTTGTGGCTGCATGGATTTTGTTTCGGAGGCGAGATTTTGCGTCAGGGGGGGGGTTAAATCGCGGTGAAAACGTGCGGTAGCCGTTCTTTTGCATTGCACTCCTGACCGCCCCCCACTTCCGCCCCCCCTTCACTGTGTTCAGTGTTTTGAACTGGTAGTGCATGGCCTGGGAGGTGGCTCGTGTCGTCTCAACTATGACTTGGCTTTGTTTGGCTTGTCGTGCCATTCGGCGTTGTGTAAGTATTGGTCAACATTCTCGCAGAGGTATCAAAGTTACGTTCTCTTCTTGAACTTTGGCGTTTTATTGGTATGAAATATCTGAAGGTATATTTTTATTGCGGAGATATATATGCGGTGTATAGAGCGATTATGAACTAAAAACAAATGAAGAGTGTGGGGAGGAAGCTACAAACTGGAAAGACTAAAAAACACGCGAGGTTCTGCTTGCGCCATGGCTCATCCTTTGCTTCACATTGAAAGAAAATAAAATGTAACTTTGTCGTTACGCATCAAATCCACGACATTGCACTGATACGATCTAAAAAGGCGTGCACGCAAAACTCCGCTCGAACCAACCTCTGTGGCAGAAAAACCTCGTGGACTTAACCCGTGTCGGTGTTCACAGCCCGTGATACGATTCGGAATTGCATGGCTTAGGGCGTGCAATGATCTGGCCAACTTTCTGTCGCGAGGCATGTCCGGCTTTAATATCGCCTTCCTGCATTTTGTCCTTGAAGAGGTTCGATGCAGTTTTAAGTGAAACGTCGCGTACATTTAATTGCGAGATTTGGCAGCGAGCATCGTTCTGCGACTCGCCGGAGAGTTGAGACGACGCTTCGACACGTGACCCCAAATTCACTGGTTGGATTCTCGAGGGGTCTCGTGACCAAACACGTCTTGGCCAGATCATTACGTGGCCCAAACTCAAAAGAAACAATTGATTTCGATTTAAAGCTTTCGTGACTGCAGGGATTCATCTTCTTGGTTCTTTCGGTAAAGTCACGTAGAAGGGAAGTAATAAAATAATAAAACATAATAAAATAATTCTCACGACGTTTCGGCTACAACGCAAGCAGCCGTCTTCAGACGTCGTGAGAATTATTTTATTATGTTTTATTATTTTATTATTTTATTACTTCCCTTCTACGTGACTTTACCGAAAGAACCAAGAAAACAATTGATTGTGAATCTTCGAGTGGAATTATTTAATGAACAACGGTTTTTTCTTTAACGAGACGCGTCACTTGTTTTCTAAAGCGGACGTTGGACTAGAGCTTTGTGTGGGGGCTTCTTTCGCGGCGACTTTCACAACTGCGTACCCCGAGCTGAACATGTGTATGTTGAACTTCTTTTGCACCGTACGTAGCCAACCGTGCTTTTTGAAGATGTGGGGGGGGGGGGGGGGGGGTGAGGACAACAAACTAAACACAATAACAAGCAGTTCTCAAGGAATACGTTTTCAAGCTAGATTTAAAAGTGCATAACTCCAGTGGCTTCCTAACATCGGAAGGAAGAGCGTTCCAGACGGTCGCAGAAGCGCATCTGAACTGCACCCTTTACCAACGTAGGCTTAAGCAACCTTAGCAATCTGATGTGGCGTGTTTTCGGATCGTACAGCGTGGTGTTTAAACATGATGTCTGACGTTTCGCTCCGCATTGTGGAAGCTCCTTCGGGATATGAACTGAGCAGCTCATGTTCTTCCTCGATTGTAAAGCTTTTCCTGCTCCTGCTGCTGCTGCTGCTGCTGCTCGTGGTGTTTGCTGTGGGTCGGCTGATGCAACCGGAAGCTCACTCTAATAAGCAAGGGGAAACTCGAGCTGCTGAATTCATTTCCTGAAGGGGCTCCCCCCCCCCCACCCAGCACGTGGAGCGAAACGTCGGACATTGTGCCAAACAACACGCGGAACGACCCGAAAAACTCAACGGAGGGCTGTGTATGGCACAACCGCAAAAAAAGCCAACCCTGCGTCAGAGTATTCGGCAACCTTGTCTGTTGAAGCCTGGCAATAGCCCATGTAGAGCTTTCCCTGCTGGCAATAGCCAGGCTTTGACGCAACTCAAACCTTCACCGTAGGTCACCTCTTGGCCCATTTGGTAATATTGTTGTTGGGTGCCACGGTGGCTAGGAGATGTTAACTACCTCGCCTGGTATACAGGAGGCCGTGGGTTCGATCCCGACCCTGACGCCTGCTGTATATTTGGAGTGTTGCATGTTCTCCCTGTGGTCGCGTGGCTGTTTCTCCGGGTTTTCCCTCCATACTTAGAATCAACGTCACGCGTTTAGAGTATTTGGCTGCTGCACATTTCCACACGATGAGCCCACTTTGTTACGCTATCATTTGTGGACAGGTCGCGTCTGATAAAAGAGCTCAATGGGCCTTACCTGGTACAATATAAATGTGTTTTAGTCTTGATTTAGAGCTTTCGTGACTGCAGGTATTCATATTCTTGGTTCTTTCGGTAAAGTCACGTAGAAGGGAAATAATAAAATAAAATAAATAATAAACAATAAAAATTCTCACGACGTTTCGACTGCAACACAAGCAATCATAATCAGGTGTGAAATCCACAGCAAGAAAATTTTTCAAATTTTTTTTCTTCAAATTTTAAAAATGTTCTTGCTGTGGATTTCACACCTGATGATGATTGCTTGTGTTGCAGTCGAAACGTCGTGAGAATTTGTATTGTTTAATATTTATTTATGTTATTATTTCCCTTCTACGTGACTTTACCGAAAGAACCAAGAATATGTTTTAGTCGTTTAGTGATGGGTATCGTTAAGCCCTCGTCGATCAGACTTTCACCTCTTTGCACAAATGAACCCGGCGAGGCTCGCTCAGCCTTGTTACCCGCCGTGTATTTCACCGGTGAGAGCAGTGTTCGTCATCGCGGCCCCTGACAATACACTGATGTGATGATGTCTTATCGGCGAAAGTGCTTCCTCCTTCTGATAATGAATTGGTGAACGACGCACGAGGTTTAGAAGGGGGTTAGAGGCTGCCCGAGTGTCGTCGTGCGTTCCTCGACTCCGCTTCCTACCCGTGAAAAATGTTTTGCCAAATCTCAAAGCAGCCACTTGCCCCAGGTGGCGCCGTGCCACTCGCATTGTGCGCTGCCTGTTTACAGTTCCAATTGGAAAACAAAATAAATAAACCGCCCGGCGACGCGAGGACTTCGCCGGCAATCCAGAGCTGTGACTACATTTTTCCGCGAATGCAATTGTGAAGCAAAGCACGGATGTTTAAAAAAACAAGAGTTTTAGGTTCCAAATAAGGACCGCGTCCTCATTTTTGAATCGCCACCGCCACCACCATCACCGCATTGCATTGCTGCCACTCCACACGAAATCCGCCCGCTTGAACCACTTCGTTTTTTGTACCCCGATGGAGAAGCATACATAGCTTGTACAGTACCATATACGATTCTGACACAGTGAAAGTATGACTGTAACTCTTTAACTCGTCTGTATATGGGGCCACTTCAGTATAATGTAACTCGTGGAGCTGTAAACCGTACAACGTATGTACTATAGAATTTTATTATAAAAAGAAATTAAACTCATCGTGTGTCTAGAGACAATGGATATGCTGTAAATATATTTCCTAATTTTTACATTTAATTTTATTGATAGAACAAAAGAAATGGTTCAGATGATGGTATAATTACTTCGTATTGTTGGATATACTATATTCTGCATTGTAAAAGTGATTTAGAGTACATTTTTTTTCTGTAAAGATTTATTTTTTCTGTTCTTTTATCGTGTTTTGTATTTTTGTTACCGTAATAGTTTTTTTTTTATTTGGGCACCGTGACAGTTTTCCAGACCCGAGATCTCCACTCACTCTCACCTTACTGGAAATTAAAATGTAAACCCAAGGCTGGAAATTCCCCCTCTTGTGTCCGTCCGTGTGTTTTTTATTCCTGCAGCTTTCACTGCCCAACAAAACGACGTCAAGGGACTTACCCTACTTATGAACGAGTTCGGTTCTAGAGGTCTGTATGCAAGTCGATTTGTTCGTAAGTCCAACTTTACACCTGTCGATTCCAAACACGTTGTACGGCATGCATACTAAACATGGGGGAATGGCTTTAAAAGTTGGATAATCACCTGTAGGTGGAGATACCACCGGTTCTTCGTGTTCTGCAGATGTAGATACCATAACCCGCCATCTATTGCGCGGCAGTTGAACTTACGACTCTGGGTCCGAACAGGCATCTGGACATACGGACAGGTTTGTTCGTATCTCTGAAAGTTCGTAAGTTGAATGTTCGTAAGTAGAGGAGAACCTGTACAGGGTGGTCCAGATGTCTTGTGACCCGCATATTAATTCGACCCGAATTTTTTTTTCTATTTGGATATTCGTTTCTATTTAAACCTTTAAATGTTTTAAGTTTTAGATAATGAAGTGAGGGTCACAAGATATCTGGACCACCATTGCGTAACGTCACAAGCTCCACAGCGCATCGAGTGAGACACACACGTGGTGTCGCTTTGAATTTGTTTTACACCCATTAAAATTTTCCAATCGTGTGCTCGCTATCAAGACATCAGAAATTCGTTAGGAAAATCTCGCAGCCCTGCGGGTCGGGGAACGGTCCATGAGAGGAGATATAACACAAGACTTGCTGTACTTTGCCAATAAAGAAAACAACCACTGGCATATCTTCTTGATTCTTTCGGTAAAGTCACGTATAAGGAAAATAATAAGATAATAAAAATAAAACATAATAAAATAAAATACTGGCATATCGCTCCGTTGAAATCTACACAGCAAGCATTGTCCCCGACTGCAAAAAAAACGTGGCAGGACCCTCCTGAATTAGAATCGCGAGGCTCAGTGAGGCATTACTGGGCAAACAAGAGTAATGTAATGCACTTCAGAGATCGTACCTTGCTTCTCTCTGTAATAGATGCAATGTTCAACGCATTGGCGGGCAAAGCAATAGTTTGAGTTCTTTCACAGTTGATAATAACAATAGTCTTAATTCTCAGAGAGCTGGAATTTAGCCAATACGTGATGAACTGAATTTAAGACGAATCACGAAATTGGTGGCTTCCCAGAAGCACACCTGGGATGTCAGAAATCACCGGCTCATGTTCTGATTTCTGAACTAATGCTGCCACCTCTGGTATATTGTCACATTTTTTAAGATAAATTTTCAGACCCAATAGAACTTCACCAAACCCCAAGATGTTTGTAGGACAATGCTTGTAATCTTCTTGGTTCTTTCGGTAAAGTCACGTAGCAGGGAAGTAATAAAATAATAAAAATAAAACATAGAGAATTGTTTTATTATGTTTTATTTTTATTATTTTATTACTTCCCTTCTACGTGACTTTACCGAAAGAACCAAGAAGATGAATCCCTGCAGTCACGAAAGCTTTAAATCGAAATTTAATGCTTGTAATGTTTAGTCGATTGTCATCAGAGTGCGATCAGGTGCCTGTTGGAGGAGCAGAGCAAGCTGGTGGCTTTGGAGGGAGAAGAGAAATCGAAAAAACGTCGTCGATTACTATTTTTTGTTGCCGATTAATCGACATCAATAATCGAGACTTTTTTTGGGTTGGATCGCGTAAATATAAATGTGTCGTTAAACCGGCCACCACCCAACACGGCCAATTGGTAAGGTTTGTCACGTAAAAAAAAAACATGCCAATTAGTTAGGAGTTCAGCACATTGGTGTGTTGGGGAGTAAACCCACGACATTTACAATTCGAGTGCGACGTTCCGCCGTTAATTACAACAAGCTTGATCAGGCAACGCGGCTGGTGTCGGGTTTAACGAAGCATTTATATTTACACGCTCTAACCTAAAAAAAACATGGATAATATTGGTCGCGACAAGCCTTACGACGTATTAAACTAATCGACATCAACTCGAGCTGTATACTTGGCTGTCTTCACAAGCATGCAATAAAGATTTAGTAAAACGTGTTTTAAGACAACGCCTGCTGCACCTCGGGTCATTAATAGAGCCGGTTCTGAATGCAACGATTGCCAATGATT